TGGTAATGATAATATATTCATTTATTTTATCCTATCATACATTGAATATAATTTTAATTTGTAGTAGCAATTCCAATTTTAATTTAAAAAAGATAAATGTAGACATTATCTAATCCAAAAATACGAAATGCTGTCCAAAAATCAAAAGGTAATAGCCTGACCAACAGAAATCGGGCTCTTAATAAATTCTCTGTATAATTAACACAAGCAGAGATCGTGTTTTTTTTTTGTTTTAATGATAGAACACAGGTATTAATCACTTGACTTAATATTGTATTGTGATAGTTATATATGTTTAATCAATATCTTGACACTCTCTGACGAATTGTCTAAAGCTAATCAGTACTTTAAGTTACTAACAAGGAAAGTTATTGAAACTAACCAAGTCCTTATAAATAGATATATTGTGGTTATTTTTGCTATACTGTTCGATGATCAAAGTTAATGGGATGTTATTTTGTAAAGTGATGCCATATCAACTAATATCAACTAAATGACTCGCTTTTATATTGCGATCACATTATAAATATATTAAATTAACTTTACTAAAAGTATAGTTAAAAATAACTCATCAATATTTAAAACATAAAAAAATGTATCTAATTAGAATTATTAAAAAATTTTACAGTTTCCGTGTGAATGGTCCAAAAATACATAGAAAAATGAGTTTGGTACAATATCCAGTAACACCCATTGGCAGTCCAGATGATCCTTTAGCAGATCCATATGATGATCCTACATACAGTTTCAACTTTAGAACACCCGATCAATCACGTTCAGAAGATAAAGACTCAACTGGTAGAGTAAGAGGTAAAAAAACTTCGACCAATATAGATATTTCTAATTAATTGAAATTAACAAATTTTAATAGGTCTGTATTCATATATTGATGACGTGGGCGAGCGTCATAGTGTACGCTATGCAGCTGGTGCAGGCACTGGATTTGAAGTTTCGAATGCAGTACCGGACAGTCCATCCAATGTCGGATATACATCACCACTTTACAAAGCACCACCAAGAACTCGTGGTCGCATGACTGTGCAACGTGGTCCTGGCGGTAGTTACAAGCTTATAGCTGCTGGACCAGATCATCGCCGTGCAGAAAGTCGTGCTACAGATGGTGTAGTTAGAGGCACATTTTCTTACTTGGACGATGTTGGAGTACAACGAACTGTTGAATATATAGCTGGCGCTGGTATAGGCTACAGAGTGCTAAAAAATAGAGTAGGTCCTGGCACACACATCAATCCATCTATAAGTGACTTTCGCTTAAGCGATACAGATTTCAAATTAGCAAATGATTTTGGCACTGGCGTTGGAGGTGGTCTCAGTGCAACTGAAACATCGAGCAGACGTGATGGCGGCGCTAGCATTAGCAGCAATAGAGGCGGGACAGCAACAACAACTGTTACTAGGATCGGTGGTGGTAGTAGTAGTAGTGGTTATGATGTGAATGCACGTGGCGGCACTAGAACTGATAGTGAAAGCAACACTGTTAGTAAAAGTCGACCAGGTAGCAATTTTGATGCAAGCAGCAGCTCATCAGGTGATAATTTTCGTCCAGAAAGTAATCGAAATCGAGGTGAAGAACGTACTGGCACCGATTTTGGAGAAAAAGTTCGTACTTCTGACGGTGGTAGCAGTGTAAGAGGCAGTAACGTTAGTCGCTTTGGTGGCAGTAGTGGCAGAGGAGGTACAAGTACTACCTCAAACACTAATTTATCAACAAGCAGTAGTAGTAGTAGTAGTAGTGATAGAAGTAATACAAATAATTATAAATTTGAAGAGGATGATTATGGCTCGCTGTCGCCATTAATAACTGCAAATCGTAAAATACTTGAAATTGATCGTGAACGCGATTGGGTGGAAAAACATCGTGATTCTACGATCATTAAAAATGTAGGGAAATGGTACATTGGCTTGCCAGCGGGTCAAAGCGTACGTGCGCATGTGCAAAATATTGACTTAACTCCGCTTGGCGGAAGACGTGGACTTTCACCATCCGAAGCATTACGGCAAGATGAAATTGCTGACATGGTGGCATCGTATGAAAGTGAAGCATCTTAAGAGAACTTCTTTGCAAAGAAATATTTTCAGATATTATATATTGATATTTAGCTTTAAGTATAATTGTAACTGAGAAGAGATAATCAGAAAGGTTAGATTATTATTGCCAATTATATCAAAACTTTTTTTTTACAATTTATTTCTTTGTATTTAAATGAATTTTGAAAGTGGCAAGTGAAAAAATTAAATAAATTAAATTTATTTTTTATAAATGTGCAATTCTGGATTTTTCCTATATTTTTTTAATCATACTAATTTTAATATTGTATGCATTAGTTTTTAAAGTCATAAATAATGCTATAATATGTTGGCTTAAAAATTTCTTGCTTTAGTTCAGTGTGACTGAAAATACTCAAAAATTTTATTTGAAAACTATGTTTAAACTTAACACATAGAGACGTGTTTGATGAGTGAGTTTTAACCCCTAAAAAATATTTTTATAATATATTTTTATAATTTATCAACATTTGAAAGACTAAACCTATATTATCTCTTCGTTATCGAAACTTATTGGGTTTTTGCAGCTAATTTTGGACTAGCTACTTTATAAACAATGTGAATACTTTACACCCTTAGAGAGAATGATTCAAAAGTAGTTTACCGACTTTTGTTATGATCGAATAAGAATATAGATATAGATTGATCAGAACATGCAAATAAGGTAATAACTTTGGATATGGTAGAATAACTCTATGTTCTAGTGATGGATCTTAGTCAAATTAAGTTGTGTGGAATGGGTGCTGTACAAAACAAAGATTTAGAGCAGTCAGAATGTGAAAAACTGGTAACAACTCCGGAGATAGTGAAAGAACTCTTTGATCTAATGCTAAAAGTTTGTCAAACAAAAGTGTTCATGGTGGGTGTTGTAGCAGAACCAAGATATTGAATGGCCAGAATGCACAAATGAGGTAATAACTCTGGATATGTTAGATTAACTGTATGATCTAGTGATGAAGGATTGTCAAAGAAGATGTTCGTGATTATTGATGTAGTAAAAATCGTAGGTCAATACGTTCACACCATTTTATATGCTATGTTTAAATGCTATTTGATTAAATTGCTTAAATTGAGTTTTGAATTGCGTTCGTATCTAGACTATTTGTTAGAACATAGCCTATCTGATTTTTATTTTTTTTTTTAATGTGAAAAAGTAGCTGACTGCGAACAAACATCCAATGGTGTTCAGATGTAATAAATGTATTAAGGAGAATTCAGAAGGTATAAAAAATTTAAAGTATCATTGTAGCAATTTACAAAGCTCTAACATAGTGTCATTGTTGAAAAATATATTTAAGGCGAGCAAAATATCAATTTCTTTCATTAATTAATGACTTTGCAAAGAGCCCTCGTACATGAAAGACATTAACATTATACAATATTATTGAAACGTTCATGTCTTTCAGAGACGGCTTATTGTGTCACATTCCTGCTCTTTCTCGACTATATTTTTATTAAATAAATTAAGTGAACTAATTCTTAGAATATGAATTATTATTTTAATAATTAGTATCTATTTAGACAAAATACATCAAAAAATCATTAAAAACATTTTCCAATAAATTTTTCTAAAATTAAGACATACATCACAACCCCTAAAATTGAACTCACACGAAGTTAGAATTTTTGTGGTTAGTTTATAATTTAAGATACTAAAGTTTGCGGCTTTCGATTTAAGTATAAAACTGCAACGAATTTGAACAGAAATTATAGTTTTATTAAAGCCGTCATCGTGTTCGTATTACAAAAACTAAAAAATTATTTTATAATGAAGCATTTAAGCTTACTGTGTCTTATATTTTTAATCAGGCAAATAAGTGTAGAAACACAATATCTACCAGGAGATCAGCACCAAACGGATTCTCATTATCTAAATATTCGGGAAGATGGTAGTTATAAGTACGCGTTTGATACCAGTAACGGCATAGAAACCGAACAAAGTGCAAATGAAAACAATGAAGTTACGGGACAATATAGTTATTTTGAAAACAATATACCTCACAAAGTCAAATATACAGCCGGAGTAAACGGTTTTCAGCCGGAAACATTTTCCGCTGCTACAGCAGAAAATAGTGCAAATTACTTAAAATACTACGATGCAGTATCAACTGCATCATCTGCTCCATATAACTTGCATAACGATTATAAGAAACCTGTGCAAGGTGAACCTACATATCAATTTGTACAAAATGCTTTAAGGACTATGCAAACTCAGCCAGTGCAGTTATCCTTTAGTTCTCAACATGGATTTCCACAGCGATTTTATAACCACGAAGTGAACTCGAAAGCAGAAAACAAACCGACATTGACTTTGGATGCATTATCATTACCTTTGATTGAAGACCAAAAATTTAATGCAGTGGCCCCTAAACTTTCGCAACATGAACCTGCAAGTGTTAATAGCATCAATCCAGTGAGACCTAAAACTGCCATTGACTTACTTTCTGCTTTATCGGAATATTCACCACAACTTGTGGTTAGTATGACAAATGAGCCATTTGGAAGTTATAGCTATGAAGTGCCAGCGCATCATCCAAACATTGCATCGAATTTTGTAAAAAATTAGTTACGAAAAAAAAAATTTATATGCTTTTTTGTTATTGTTGTGCTTGATTATGGTGTTGGGTATTAATAAAAAAATAATATGACGATATAAAAAATAATATAATCAAATAAAAAATTTTTACAATTAATTATGAAGAATAATTCTTTTTTAATATTTAATCAATTAGTTATGTTAAACGAGTTACGTTAGGTTTACATTATCACAATTAATTCGATTAATGTGTCACATTTATTATGTCAGCAAAAACCCACAGAAAATACATGCCCTCAAGACGTTCGATTATTGGATGTGCAACTATGAAGTAATCGTGTTATGGTAATATTTAAGCAATTGCTTTCTGTAATTATTAAAAAGCAAATATAAAAAACTTTCTTCATCTGGAAAGTATAACTTTAATATATTTATCTTTAAGTTTTCAGCAGTACTGTATTTTCTTCCCATAAATATACAACACCCATATCGCTTACGTCTATCGTCATTAAGTTTTTCAAATTATAATGAATTTCCCTACTTTTAGCCTCACTCAATTTTTTTTAAAATTATATCATAATTTGCGCCAGCTGCTATTTTTGCTTCAGTTTATAGAATTTCCAATGAAGATAGTCTCTCTTGAATATTCATATTTTTCTAGTACGTCTTAATCACGTCTTTTAACTTTGAGTAGCTTCTTTCCGTCGAAGCTATACTGACTGGAACTGTGAACGTGAATCTGGTTACTATATAAACATTTGGGAATACTTCAAATATGGTTAATGCCATTATCAAACCACATTGTTCAAAATATTTATTAAGGGCTTAGAATCCACAGTCGGTAACTTTTTGCGAGGCCCCTGCGGGCGCGAGGCCTAGCGACGCCACTGTATATGTATATAACCGTAATGCAGTAAATAAATCGTGAGATTATCTGAATATTACTTTAGACAGAAAACGCTCTGAAACACCATCTAAAATGGCAAAAAACATTTTTTTTCGATATTTTAAAGGGAGTGAAGATACAAAGTAAAATCTCTGATTGTATTTAACTTAGTAAATGCTAGCACGGTCGTGACAAGGATCTCTTCAAGTTGACACACAGCCCCCATATATGTGCAGCGAAATCCTCGTCATGGATATATGAGGTTATGCGTCAGGCTTAAAGCTCTCTTTATAAAATTATAACTGTAATGAAAACGAAGATTCAGCCTCGGATAAGGAAGTCTTTTAAAATTTCAAATTAAATAATATGAAAATACTTCTTTATTATATAGAATTAAAAAAGGTTAAATTCGTCAGATGTATTTTCAGATATATTACTATTATATTAGTTAATAATCACCCTAAATTAAAAAAAAAGAATAGGTGCTTATGTACCATGTAAAAAGAAGTAATGACCTGTGATCTGATTATTTCAACTATTTTCGTAAATTAACAAATTAATTAATTAATATGTTAAAGGTGCACCACTTTTGTTATTTATTTATTTCAGATACTTGTACAATGGACATAATTAAGACAGCATTTTCTAATTTCAGTACCGTGGAATCAATACGGCCCTTTCATGTACTGTATCATACAGTCTGTATGTAGTAGGCATAATGCCTTTTTATTATCAAATTGACATTTTTAATTTATAGTTTCAAAAATAAGCATTTTTTAATGTTTTATTGAATATTTTAGTTATTGAAGTGTGCCTTTATCAAAAACAAAATAAAAATACTCTTAATTTGCTTCTTAATTAAATTCAATGCATGGCGTTGGCCCTATAAGCGCCGCATACAAAATATCTCCATCGAAATCGTTATAAATGGGAATTTCTTATGACTGATATTTGAATAATCAGAGTTGGCAAACATTGACTAAGAGTTCGTTTAAAAAGTTTTAAATTATTTTTAAAAAAGTTATAGTAAACTGTATTATACAATATATGAAATATAGTGCTAAAAGTTAAAAACTCTTTAGATTCATAATTCTCGTAATCTCTTCAGAACACGACTCTGAATTATTTATTTGTCGAACAAAATATTTCGGTTGATAATGTTTCCCGAAATTTACCCTTTCTTACTGAAAGTATTCATTGTGTTACTATAGTACTGTGCTATAAACAAATATGTCAAAGAATGTATCATGTTTTGTAACTAAGACATTTTTTTATGGAACTCCAATTTCCATACTATATAGGTATGATTTAACGGTTTTAAACTGCTACGCTTCTTTGAATTAAGGTTCGAAACAGTTCAACCATTCTCTTCTCGATCAGTGAAATATTGCAGATAATTGCTGTATAAATGAGCGAACTAAGCAGGATGCCTCAGGAACTTATTTTGAATATCTATAAGATCTGAGCACCTACTACCACTATGTAATTAATAGTTGATATCTATCTGTATTGTATTGCTCAATACAAAGTCGAATGAATCCTTGTTAATAATAAATTTTCTAGTAATTTCATTGACGTGTTTCATTGAGCATTGTCCTTTCAGTGTCTATGTTTGTCTATGTCCTTTCAGTGGGACTTGCCGCATTGATATGGGGAGAGTGAAGAAATTGCATGACATATACTTTATCATCGTAATTTCATTGATGTGTTTCTTAGAGCATTGTCCTTTCAGTGTCTATGTCTGTCTATGTCCTTTTAGTGAGACTTGCCGCATTGATATAGAGGGAGTGAAGAAATTGCATCACATCTATTTTATCATCAATTATCGCAAGTGCTACTTATATTAAATATGCTACACGCACACTTTCTGGAAGTTCTTAGTTAGCTACAATATCTTTACTAAAGAGAAGCGTATTAAAGATTCCAGATGGTTTAAAACTGGTATAAGAACATAATAGCTCTATAGAACTAAGTGAACCTTCGGAATCGCGATTGTAACTTAAATTAACTTAACCTGACTATTTTTTCTAACAAGTATAACTTAATGTATGTATAATTTATTAATAAGATTAATTATGAACTTTTTACAGGTTGTCCCGTATTAACATAATATAAATATAAGGAGTGATTATTCAAGTCATGATAGTGACGAAGCTCCAGTTAGTAGATAACTGAAGGTTCGGATACATGTATAATAAAATCTATTACTCGAGTTATCATGATTTTTGGGTAAATTTTTTTGACACTTCATACGCGACACTCATTGTCAGATATTAGTATGTAACCTATCACTATACGAATGTTTAAATATATTGGATCAAGCAATCACCTATCGCATTCATTGTACTTGGGTACTCAATAATCTGACTCAATAATAATCTATATATATGAATTGTATGTTAGCCACTATAATTACCACTGTTAGCCCACACCTGCCTTGTGTTTTGCAAAGATTTGATAATGAATTACAATGGCTTTGTTTTGGTTTGATTAAATTTTCGGCGGTTATATCAACTGACTGTACATTGATTATTTGTGTAATAAAATTACAGAAAAGTTCGTATTTTACATATATATGTAAAAATTATATATAAGTATAATGTTTTTAAGAAGAATCCACTGACTACTCCTATGGGTGACTTTTTGCTATCATTGATATAATTTTGGTATATTTTTATTTTATTTAATATTCGATGCAGTTGCAAAAATGTTAACATTTGTTTAAACCTTGAAACATTTAAGCTTATGTTTTGTTAACCTAAATAAGAAATATTTTGTTTATATTTTGAATTTGAAATTGAAATTTGTTTTGGCAATTGCTTCATTGCAAAGACATTAACGTTTTATAATGATGAGGACGTTTAACTTTCATGAAAACAAATGCCGAAATTT